AAGTTCTACTTGGTCACTAGTCTTATTTGGTTCGTTCTCTTTCGAGCCTACAATTAGTATTTCCATCACTTCCTTAGATTCCTTTAATTTTGGTATAGTAGAGAACCTATTTTCATCGAATTCTGCATCTTTAGATTCTATGATAGTATTAATCTCAATTGATTCATTGGGTTCTACTACTATGAATCTATATGTTTTATTATGTTGTGCATACCTCGAGAAAATACACTCTATTCCTTTACTTCCAAGTTTCTTTCTTTTAAGTTCCGACAATCTTAAAATAGCTGTACAACCTCAAACTTTTAAGTAACCTAGATTAGATTTCTTTTTCTTCCAATATTCATAGGTTGTGATCGTTGTGTTCTTTATAGGAATCCTATTTAATATGTGACAAGTTGTTAATATGACTTTCCCCCAAAATCCTTGCCTAAACCTGAATAGGAAAACATAGCATTAACCATTTCAGTTAGTGTCATATTCTTTCTTTCTGCCACACTATTTTGTTGTGGGGTATATGGTGTCGTGACTTCATGTACTATTCTTAAATCTTCACAAAACATAGGAAAGTGGTATTCACCACCTCTATCAAACTTTTAAGCACTTAATCTTAGTGTTACATAGATTTGCTACTTCATTCTTATATATTCTGAATTTTTCTAACACATCATCTTTAGAATTAAAAAGATACACATCAAATTTTTGAGTATTCATCTATGAAAGTCACAAAATATTTCTTGCCACATCTAGTAGGTGTCCATGAAAATGACAAAACTAAATCTAATAAAGATGTAGTTCTTTCAACTTTAGGGAGTGGTTTTCTAGCGATTTTAGTTTGCATGCAAAATATACACTTATCGACTATATCATTTTCATACTTAGGAATTAAATTCAATTTAACCGTGTCATCCATTTTTCTAGTATTAACATGTCTTAATCTACCATTGTAACGCCTCAAAACCCACCTTGGACGGCATTACAATCCAAAAATCATTCTCGTTATGAGTGCAACTAAATAAATTCATCATTTAAGAAATTTTCATTCATCAAATATAACATTTACAATATCATCCTAAAAGAATAGGCCAACCATGGTCCATCCCAAAATAATCAGCTATTTTCTCACAGCGGAATAAACAAAAATACATCTATTAATGTACCAAAATATATTCCCTAATCTAAAGCATGGAGAGATCAACTCTAGACATTTTTCTCGGGATCTACGCTTTCCTCCAATTGGGCTTCCCAAGCCACCTGCTCTTCAACTCCAAGCTCTTTCTCTAAACTGGCATCTGAGAATGAATAATATTGTAGGAGGTGAGCACTAAGCTCCGTAGCAACATTCTCTCCAAACTCAAATAAGGTTTAGAAAACATATAAAACAAGTCGGTCTCATTTTGTAAATATCATTTATTAATTTTTGAAAGAAAACAGGAATATTTCAATAGATCTCAAGTTTACACAATAGCAATAATTTAAATGAACAGTAACATGAATTTTTCAATAGTAAACCATTTCCAACCATAAACCATTTTTTACAAGTTCTTATGGAGTCCCATACCTCCATAAGCTCTTGTAGGAAACCAATTCTACACAATAATCATATTCTCATGTTTTTTGGTTGCTCCCCATGAATCTACACCATGACTCTACCTCGTTCACCCAATCATAACCACACAAACCACTTTAGGAAGGGCTACCGTCTCCCACGACATTGACGAATCTTTCCCAAAAAAGGTATACCCACTCTTAGCCTCGAACTTACGTGAACAATAGCGGTTGCTCTCACAAACAACAAACCACTACAAGTGTTAGGAAACCATCTCACCCTCACTGGAATAGACTAACCTCTAACACTCTACGACTGTGCTCGAATGCAATTCAAGTTCATCACAACAACCATACAAGAGATGCAATTCCAACCAAATTCTCAAATCATAAGTAAATCATAAATTCCCAATTTAATCGGCATTTTTCCAATAGAACAATTTAAGAAATTAAGCAAGAGATCATCACAAATACCCTTTTATCATTCAACACAAGGCACTAGAGTTTTGAAATCAAGAATAAAACATGGTGGTTATCCAACCATTTATCTTGAAAACTAGAGTTTTATGCCAAGAAAAGAGATTTAATGGTTATCTAACCACTACTTTGCTTAAAACATGGTGGTCTTTGCAAAGATACCAAGAAATAAGATTTTATAGCATATATATAAGATTTAAAGTCAAAATAATACATATAGATAAGCCCTAACCTCATTGTAAGAGAATAGGAAGAAACTCCTACCTTGTTGTTCTTGAAAAACTAGGATTTTGATATTTTTGAAGTGAAAATCCCCTTTGATCTTGTGTTTTTCTCTTCCTTTCTTCCTCTCTAAGATTTTATAGGGTTAGAGATGTTGAAATGAGGCTAAATGGGATGTCCTTAGGTATTTATAGTGGAAGAAAAATCGGCTGTTTCGCGACTTAAAATTTCAGATTTTTAGAAAACCTTCCGAAAGATTTTTCATCGACCTTCAGGAAGGCTTGTCTACTAGATAAACATTTTCATTAACCTTCTGGAAGGTTTCTCATTGATTTTTCGTAAGGTTTGTCTACTGGACAAACATTTTCATTAACCTTCTGGAAGGTTTTTCATCGACATTCCGAAAGATTTTGCCTACTGGATAATTCCTTTACTTTAACCTTCCGGAAGGTTTTTCATCAACCTTCTGAAAGGTTTTTCATCGATCTTCCGGAAGATTTTGCCTGTTTTTCTACAAATCCTTCCTTCTTCATTTCCAATCCATTCCAAACCCTTCCAATTCCAACCCAAACTTATACAACATAATTTTGTACATCAAACCTAGTTGGTACAAGTTTTATTACAACGATTTTATATATTTGCAAGCTAAAACTAAATTTTAACTACCATTTACTCAAATTTTACCCTATTCTTTTCAAAAGAAATTATTACTTGCTATAAATACCTACATACATATATAAAGATACAAGTATGGGGTTTACAACCATACCACAAAGAAAGAAAACCAACAAATTAAGCAGAAATAGACATTGTATTGTTTTTTCTCTTTTGATTGTTTTGTCCAAAGTGATTAGCTTGTTTATTCTCTTTTCCTTCCTCCACCACAATAACCTTGGATGCACGTTTTTCTTGATCTTCACTTCTCTATTGAATTCTTGACACTTTTTCAAGTCTAAGGTAGGTTGCCAATTCTTTCAAAGATAAATATTCTTTCTTATCTTTAAGACTTTTTCTAAAGTCTTTCCATGATGAAGAGAGTTTTTCAATGATAGCGGACATGATAACAGATTCATCCATATTCATTTCCTTTTGTTTAAATTATTTAGGGTTTGCTGAATTTCATGAAATTGATCTAGCACATATTTGTCATCTACCATTTTAAAGTTAAGAAACTGACCAACAAGGAACTTTTTCTCATAGCATCCTCCGCGAGATATTTTTCTTCCAATTTGTCTCATGACTCCTTAGCAGATTCCACTCCTTGATAAAGATTGAATAGAGAGTTGGACATTGCATTCAAAATGTGTCATTTGTAGAGATAATCTATTGCTCCCAGTTTGCCTGATTTCGTGCCTGTGCCACTATTTCATTCCCTTTGTTCTACGGGTTTAGATGTGGTCAACACATTGGCAATCTTCAATATAGTAAGTAGGAATTGCAATTTCCTTTGCCAATGGAGAAAATTCCTACCATCAAATCGATCCAACTTGATGAAACTTTCAATCATGTGACATAGTGATTTTGTAGACGAATAAGAATCCACGAATAAATATTGTTTTTAGATTGTTGAATAAAGTACTCTGATCATCACTTCATTGAAAATTTGATCGTATGAACTGTATTACAATATTGAAAATTGCTTCAAGTTGTGTACGATAACACATTTCTAAAAATAATGTTTGCCCCACAAGTTGTTTAGAAGTATGTGTACCAAAAATTTCGCAAATCTGTTCTCAAGATATAATGAAGCTTATCAAACCTGTCTAGGTATTGTACTTACGAAGACAATACCCAAATACCTTAAGGAAATCAAATAACTAACTTCTAGTATTCTAACTCTGTAGAAACTAGAACACTAGATTATATAGAAAAGAATAGATGTATGTAAATTTGGTAGAATAAAGAGAAAGAAGAACAAGAGAGCAATTCTAACACAAAGTATAGAATTGTTCAATCATATATTGTTGGAGGGCAAAACATCATATATTTATAGACTCATTAATGACTTTTCATAAATGATGCAATCATATAAAATTGTGTCTTTTGGTTCAAATGATAGTGACTTTATGAAAAAGTACAACCATTTGAAATAATGTTTTTTAGTTCAAGAGATATCAAAGATGAGTTTATGAAAAGTTGTGACTATTTGTAATGATATTTTTTAACCGAAAGGTGTTAATGATAACTTTATAAAAGGATTTAACCATTTGAATTGGTGTCTTAGCCAATGTCATTTTTATTTTACATTTTTTTAATTTCTCCCAAAAGTCATAAAAGTTTTTTCAAAAATAATCATCCAAAAAAGCTTTTATTTTAAAAATACTTTAACACTTTAGACTTCACCCCTGTGAGCAAAAACTTAGTTCGTCCATCAACACCTCGCCTCACAAGCCGCTCCATTAATAATGACTTAAGTGATTTATGTAAAAAATTATTCCAACAATAATAAATAAGAAGATGACTTATTCAATAATTTGTGCATAAGAATTAGAAATCTTATATGAACTAATTTGAATGGGTGTAAGACTTATTGCTCAGAAGCACCTCAAGGGACACAAAAATGCAGGTAACGTGGTTGAGGGATCACAATTTAATTAGATCATATCAAATTTGTCATCCATAATTTATTTCATGGTATTTTCTTCCCCAAGTTTGTCCTTCTAGGATTTTTTTGGGCTTAGTTGATCCATGGGTCCCCCAACAAGCAGATTTTTCTCATAAAGACAAGAAGAAGAGGGCATGGACATAATTATGCGATATTCTTGGGGATATTGAAGCCAATCCACAGAACAACCTCATCCTCTGAAAAAATCGACAAACTGTTTTTGAGGCAAAGGAGAGCCCCAAGGACCGAGTGCCTGAGCCTTCTCTTTCTCTTTGGTCACTCTTATCTTCAACAACACAGACCAAGTAGAGCCCAAACCATGCTGTTTACTTGGTTGTAGACACCTGCACATTCATTAACGCTTCAATGGAGGCAGGAAGGAGCTTGCTTTCTTCATCTCCACCATGTCCTCCACGAACCCATTTAAAAAATTCTCTCTCTTCTGCTTCTACTTCTTCTTCTTGTTCAGGTACGTGTTATTGAAACTTTCCCTCTTCATGGACCATACGTATACATAAACAATCATATTAGTGTATTGATTTGCATGGACTTTAGCTTCTGAATTTTACTTTGAACTTGTTGGTCATTTGTGGGTTAGGTTTTTAACAAAACTGGCTAAAACTGGCTGCGTGATGTTTTGCCTATTGAATAACAAAAGAACCACCATTTTTTGTGAGTTGAATAGTCCAGACCAACACTAGTGGAATCCGAATTGAGAATGAGTTATTGGTGCCTCATGATTCACTATATGTGGTCAATCCCAGCTGCAACATATCTTATATTAACTCTTGGAGCACGTTGTCATCGTCTTTATTGGTTTTTCTTGTTCTTTCTATTGATTTGGGTTGGATTGAACCAATTACGAGTTTCCATTCTGCTGAAACATGTGCTGTTATTTTGTTGAGTTATATTTCCTCAATTGTTCACTTGGACATTACGAAACAATTTATGTTGGCCTAGTTGTTTCTGTGAAAGTGTACCTAGTATCACAATCCTTACAAGCACAGCGATTGTCATCATATGGAAGAGGTTTAACTCTTACCTTTATGGGCATGAATGTTCACTGTTCTTGACTCCACCAGATTTCCTGTTTTATGGAGTATCTACACTCATTTTTGTGAGAAGTTAAAATTTTGTTTGAAGCTTGAGAAGTGTGGTGGGTGGGGGCAGCATTTCAATAATAACTACTACATTCTTAGGCTCCCAATAGTTAGAACTTTCCAAAGAGTGAAATTTTTGGAATTGGAAATACTTATAAACAAGCAAACATTGTAATGTACACCTATTGAGAATTCGGAGAATGTTATAATGGTGATTCTAGGAGGAGCATAATACCTTACAAGGTATCCAGTTGATGTCATGCATCAAGTGCAGATTTTTGTGGGAGGCATGCCAGTGAGCTGAATTTTTTTTTTTGTCTCTGATTTTTTACCTTCTGTGGAATGAGGGTGCCAGAAGCTGTTTCTTGTTCATCTAGATATGCCTTTTGTTTGGGTGCACATCTTTGGTTATTTAATTAATCTATGGGGTTAGTCCAGTCTGAACAGGTGAATAGAGGGAGATGGTTGCTAGAAGGCAAATGTGGGAACAACACTGATATAATCTCGAAACTTGCCTTTGGAGATAATGAATTAGCAGGATTTGTGTTTTCTCAAAGAGCTAACATCAACTGCCCTAAAAAATATTAAAAATAAAAAAAGCCTTCACTTCCGCCTCAAGCCTTCTTGCCTGCTGGTAATTCCTGAGATAGTTCTGAGGTTACACTTTGAAATCATTGGTGCATGATGGCCTATATGTAGTATGTTACTTGTGTTAATTTGGTAGTTTTACTAGACATATTTAATTTGGATTATGTTATGATTCAGTAGACGTTTAAAGGTACTCCCATTTTACTTGTAAACCAATTCTTTTGGTTCAGACTTATGTAAGTTAAAAGTCCTGTTAAGCTGGAGGACTTCCACCTACTCACATCCGAGCCAAATTCATTACATTGTTAATTTTTGCAGTTTTGATGGTTCATGAGCAAGCAGGTTCTGTACTTACCTCCACGGGAACTACTTCTTTACCTCGACATTTTCCCACCTCAGTTCTTTTGCAAGAGCTGCACGATGAGAGTAGGCCTTTGCTACACATAATGAAGGAGGATAGAACATCCCTGGTAAGGCGCTTGCCGCTTGGGGTGGATATTCACTGCATGACTTGAGAAGAACCTACAAGTGCATTGATAATTATGTGGCTGAATTTTTGGGTGACAGTGTGCCAGATTTCCTTTTAATCTGATAATAGAGGAAATTTTCCAAGATCTTGTTCTTATTCAGTTCTGTTAGATAGTGTTGGATGGGTTTGGGGGAAAGGGTGTTGAGAAGTTAAATTCATAATGTTAAACTTGATTTTTTTTTTTCAAAATACCAGTGGGTCCAGTACTGATTTCAACTTTGATGTTAAATCCGATTCGTATTCTGGTTTTGTCTTTTATGCTCTCTCTTGCATGGGTGAGTTTTGATTGCTGTATCATTGAGTGTGTTGTTAATTCTTTCCTATTATAGGCAACATTAGATAGGAGGCGGCTGGAAGAAGGCTTCTCAGCACACGAAGAGAATGGCGCTGTTGATACTGATCAATACCTGAAGGATTTTCAGTGCCAGTTGCTTAAATGGCCCGGTCTATGGTATTTGTAAGACGCTTGAAACTCTTCCAATTTACTATTTCATCTGAAATAAAAGGTTTACCGTTGCATGCGCTTGCTTGTAATTGTCTTCATATTTTTTCTTGCTTATTAATTGTTTGACCCCTGTTTTTTGCAGATTGCCATCCTTACAAACAGGAGGATCACCGTCTTTAAATTCAAGTAGCCAGTCTGTTCCAAGTAAACCAAATAAGCTTATTGATGTTGAACCGCACTTTGTGCTTGCCCTTGCTCAAAAAGCTTTGTCAGCCTCAAAAGAAGCGGCTTTGTTAGCTGAGGACTCAAAACTATTTGAAGCATCTCGTGATGAATCCCTTACTCCTAGGTCAGTTTCCTTGAACTTCATTACGCTGCTATTATGTTTGTTTGTTTATCCTTTGATGAATCCCTTATTCCTATGTCAGTTTCTTTGTTCTTTTTTGATCTTCATTTCAGTTTCTTTTTATACTGCTTTATTTTGCCATTATATTCTAGTACTTCTGTTCATCCTTAGAGGTTGATATTTTAAACTATTATTCAGCTCGGGCTCTCCTGGGTTGGCTGATTGCCCAATTAACGAGGTGAAAACAGTGAGGTCAACACGCCTTCAAGAGAGGCGATCTAAGATAAGGGGGGTGCCAAAGCCACTTCTTATACTTCACGACACAAGCAGATCTCCAAGAACAGATATACAAAGAAAAATAAGTGAAGGTTTTGATCCGAGTGACCCTCTCCGCTTATTCTTGTCTGGTCCAGAAACAAGACAACTTTTGACTGCAAAAGAAGAATTGGAGCTGATAGTTCAGATACAGGTTAGTGTATCCCCGTCTTTACAAAAATGCAGGGGATGTTCACATCACAAGCTGGACTGATTCTTACTTGCATCGGATTACTAATCAGGACTTAATGAGACTAGAGGAAGTGAAGAGTAGGCTTCATTCTCAGTTTAACCGTGAACCGACACTGGTAGAATGGGCAGAAGCTGTTGGGCTTAGGTGTCATGTATTACGGTCACAACTTTACCGTGGAAACAAGAGCCGAAAGAAGCTAATATATGCCAATTTCCGTATGGTGGTTCACATTGCTAAGCAATATGGGGGGCGCGGTCTCAGCCTTCAGGATTTACTGCAGGTGAACCAAACTAACCTTAAGAAATGCCTAGATTTTTGCCCAAGTGTTACTACAATGTTTCCTGGTGACTTTTCTTTCTTAATGGATAGGAAAAATAGAAGTACTTCTAGAGCTCAAAAGCTTATTTATCACACTCAGGAGTCTTACTTATCCTGGAGACAATGCTTGTGCAGCTATTTGTGGTTAACTGGTTATATATATGTCATATGTAGTCATCATTGTGGTTGACATTGTTTCCTGCCTTCGTTGTTGAAATACGTCTTATTATTACTTATGCATGCATACTACCATGCTCTGTCTAATTGCAGGTAAAAATAAAATGCCGGAGAGGAAATTAAAAAACTTGAATATTTACTTTGTTTGGGCATGTACACTTTTTTTTTTTTTCAGTTGGTGGCATCAGTGCGAGTGCTATTTTACTTTCTTGGTAATTAAATGAGACATTTCATTAGAACATTGAGGCTGGGCCTCCGTGAGAAAGCATTATGATGTTAATTAGAAGTCAAGTTTATTGTTTCCTTAACAATGCGTTGACTGGCTGTTGCAGGCAGGAAGTATGGGTCTTATGAGGAGTGTCGAAAAATTCAAGCCCCAAGCAGGTTGCCGATTTGCTACTTATGCTTACTGGTGGATAAGGCAGGCGGTCAGAAAGGCCATATATCAACATTCTAGGACAATACGTTTGCCAGTAAGTCCCATTTATTGCTTGACTGATATCTATTAATACCCACTTTTTGTTTCGACTGAACTATGAAACTCAACATCTTTGTGGATTCAATTAGTTTCTAAAGATCTCAGCTTTTTCAGTATTTTACGATATAAAGTTTCAAATATCTTAATGCCCAAAAAGAATAAATCTCAAATACTAAACAGTATTTCCAAAACTTTAAATTTGCAGAATTGTTGATATTGGTCCAAAAATTGATCTTGCAGGACAATGTATATGGACTTCTGCACAAGGTAACCGAAGCAAAGAGACAATGCATCCAGGAAGGACATCATCATCCTACAACAGAAGAAATTGCAGCTCGTGCTGGAATGACAGTTGAGCAATTGGAAACTCTGCTATTTTCTGCAAGAATGCCTCTTTCAATACAACAGCCTGTATGGGCGGACCAAGACACTACTTTACAGGTACTCTTTTCTCAAGATCTTGATTTCCACCTGAAGAGGAATTTCAATTGATGACTAAAGTAGGGAAAAGTTAAGGAGATAGCCTATGGTATGCTACTTAATATCTGAGCATTTCGACTAACAAAAAATGCTCTAAAACCACTTTCAGAGATCTATATGGTGTAGTAGTCTTGGCTCAGTCGACCAGATAATTCAACAGTTGAAATTGCCATATGATGACTTATTTAAATTAGCAAACTCATGTCCTTGCTGTATCTGTGTCTTATTCTTCTATAATTTGCCATGTCTATGCACTTGTGTCAGCACTGTCAGGTCACGTCCATCCCCTTTGTCCAAGTTTATGCTAAATAACTACATAAACACCATCTATGGGTTTCTATTCCCTAATGGTCTGACGTGAGCTATTCTATTAACCATCTTTCTAGACTCTCTTGACATGGTTTTCTCTAAGCTGATTATGCTTGAGCGTCTCATTCTCGTTCAATTGTGCCTCAATAATTTGATGTTGGGGATCCTGATAGTCTCATGTCTGAGGAGTTGTGAGGGGCCCTGAAAGTACATTTTCGCTGAGGTTTTCATTAGACTGGAACCAATGTAGGATTTGCTGCATCCATAATTCCAATGGAATACAAACATGTGATAGATACTGAAAGTAAACAACAAATTATTTAGGCGGATTCATGTCCTAATTTTTGCTGGGGGCAGATAGCATTCAAGTTGTTTTATTCTGCACGGAAAGTAATGCATTGTCATCCTCACAGGAAATCACTGCGGACACTACAATTGAGATCCCAGATGTGAGTGTGGCAAAGCAGCTCATGAGGCAGCATATCCGCAACCTTCTTGGCAATCTGAGTCCCAAAGAGAGGAGAATAGTCCGGCTGCGATATGGAATTGAAGATGGCAAACCAAAATCACTATCTGAAATTGGTGTTGTTTTTGGGTTGTCAAAGGAGAGAATCCGGCAGCTGGAGAGTCGAGCACTGTACAAGCTGAAGCAGTGTCTAGGCAGCCAGGGCCTAGCTGCGTATGCAAATTTGCTTGTATAAACTTCCATAATCACTAAATGCTGTTCAGGGGAAGAGGAAGCAGGTGATTGTGAACCCCTATCTCAAGTGCGGAAAAAGAGCAGCTTTCAGGAATGGGTTCTGAAAATGAACTCACTTGACTGAGCTTATCTACCTCTCTCTCTCTCCTCATTTTATTGGTTCTGAATATCATTCTGTAAATTCTGGTTGAATTCCTACATTTTCATTCGTTGTCTTTGTCTTGTAATTAAAGGCGGTGATGCTAAATCTGTATTTCACTGGAAATGATTTTCAGCACAAACAATCTATTCATGGATGTTCCAATATTTGTAGATGTACCCTCATTCTGTTTTCTTAATTAAAAAATGTCATTTTGTTGAACGATGTTCACACATTATATGGCTGAATTTACTTGCTACCTAAGAGAAGTAATATCTCAGGAAATATGAAACTGTGTGTTTTTAGCATGAGATCAACAGAATAAACCTAATTTCTGCTGGGTAAATGCTCTATCATGTTATTTTCTTAACAAAACCGCTCGTTAAGGTGGTTGGTTTTAGCTAAGTTGCAGAAACTGAGTGCTGTCCTGGTGGACAATCCGTCTTCTAGTTCTGTTTGTGCAGAGCAATGCCGAGTCTCTTCTTCTTCACTCATATTGGTATGTTATCATCCAGAACAGAAGTACCCGTGCCGGCCCACCTGAAAATTCTTATGTGTTAGTTGTCCGATGTTGCCTACCTTGTTGAAGAAATGTCGTGCTGGAGGTTTTTGTTGGCCTTTGTCGAGTTTAGTTTGTGCGTTGATTTGGATAATGACCCGATCCGAAATAATGTTGTGCAATTTTTAATAGGAATTTTTTTTAAGCTTAGTCTATGGAACGAAGCCCAAGCCATAGTGTTCATGGACAAGCTTCGTGGTGGTTCGGGGGCAACGCCTCAAGGAAAATTTTTTGGGCCTGTTTTGTAGTCCGGTACTTAGGACATATAAAAACTGCTACTTTGGTGTTTAGGGTTTTATTGTAACTAAAAGCCGCCCTTCTGTATTCTGTTCTCTCAATAGTGAAATCCTTGCAGCTTTGTGGACGTAGGCAAATTGCCGAACCACATAAAATTTTTGTGTCTTGTTCTTTCTTGTTTTTTATTGTTTTATGTTCTTGGTTTGTTCTTCATTGTATGTGTTTGTTTGTGGGTTTAAAGCGTGTTAAATCCCAACAATTGGTATCAGAACTCTGAGTTAAGAGATCAAGGGTTTACACAATGGTTAAAGACAAAGTCAAGATCGAAAAATTCAATGGCACAAACTACGCGTTCTGGAAGATGTAAATGAAGGATATTTTATATCAGAAGGATTTGTATCAACCTATTGATGAGACGAAACTAGCGAATATGGAGCAAACAAAGTGGAATATTCTGAATCGCAAAGCCCTAGGGATTGTGAGACTATGCCTCGTGTCGTTAGTTGCGTCGAACATCGCCAAAGAAAAGACTACATCAGATTTATTCAAAACCCTAGAAAAAGATGTATGAAAAGCTGTCAGCGGTGAATAAAGTATATCTTATGAAAAAATTGTTTAACCTAAAGATGTCTGAAAACATTATTGTTGCTGAACATATCAACGAATTTAATACGGTCACGAATCAGTTAGAATCCGTGAGTATTATTTTTGATGATGAAATTAGAGCTCTAGTCCTTTTATCAAGTCTGTCGGAAAGTTAGAATGAACTTGTCGTGGCAGTAAGCAATTCTTCTGGATCTACAAAGATAAATTGGAGGATACTGTGGCGTTGATACTAAGAGAAGAGGCTCGGAGAAGAGCATTGGGTGAGAATGTTGTTTCAGGTTCAACACTCAATATGAAAGAGAGAGGCAAGACTATGAATAAGGGAGGCAATAAAAAGGGCAAGAGAAAGTCGTATTCGAGAAATAGAGGCTGATTAACCCTAATTAAAGTATAATTTAATTAAGTTAATATGTCAATTGTGTTAGTTAAATAAAGTTAAACTAATCAAAATAAATCAAATTAGGGCTAGTGTGTGAATTAAGGATAATGCATTGATTGTTGTTCTTTTCAGGACTACAAATTACTAGGGAGTCAATTGTGTCAAAGCTTCAAACTACTAGAGAGCCAATTACCAAAGCTGCATACTATAGGATGCCAATTATTAAAGCTGTAAACTATAGAGTGCCAATTATCAAAACTCAAAATAAAAGGGGATCAAAGTGTAATTCAAAGTCGCCAAACAAGACGTTTATCCTTCCGTGTTGCCTATAAATACCACCATTTAGGACTTGTAAAACATTCATCTTTTGGTAGTGAAAAATCCTCCAAAAGTATTATTGCTTTCTTTTATTATATTATTGCTTTATTTAATTTATTGTTTTCTTTTATTATATTATTGCTTTTTTTAATTTATTGCTTTCTTTTACTTTAATTGTTTGAGCTTTCTTCTTCCTTTAGAAGAGTGAAACTCTTCCACTTTTCTAGAGTTTTACCAAAACTGTGAAGGGTGAAACGTGATTCACTCATTCTTCATTGAAGATCGGCTTTTTGTGTAAAGTGTTTTACCTTGTAACTCCTCTATTTTGAGGATGAACATCACTCACTTTTCTAACTTTACCAAAGACATGAAGAGTGAGTAGTTTTTCATCCAATCTTTAGTAAGAGGTGAAGGAAATGTATAATTATCCGAAAGTTATATTTATGCATTTCGTTTATATTTTGCTTCAATCTTCATTTCTTTATAATGTCTTCTCATTACATTGTTGTCTTTATCTTAAGCATGAGTAGCTAAGTCCTTAAGTTGGTTGATCCAAGGGAGACCTCCTATTGGGTATTTGTCATTTCTACTCATCTTCTTTCCTCCCCTCGGTGTTCGATGGTTCGGTTTGACTAGGTTGAGTGAGGACATGGTGCGAGTCTTTGATATCCCGTAGATTTGTCATGGGTTATACTTGGATCCTCACTTCCATCTCATCCTTCATTTTTTACGAATCAATTGTTCATCTTTACACCATTGGAGGAAGGTTTCAAGTTAACTTGACATTTTCATTGGAGTGAATCCTTCGGATTAGCCAACACTTGTTTCCCATTTCAATTTCATCACAACACAAATCACAAACCAACTTCAAACAACAAAAGATTTTACACTCTGTTTTTCACCAGAATCACCTTCAAAATGTTTCACCTCATTCCTTGAGGAGACGACCTTAGAATATAATTCCAAGTAAAACATGACAAGGAAAAATCTCTCTGCGCTTGGGGAGCATTTTTGTTCACACACACACACACATTTGACATTTTATTCATCTACCATTTCGCTGTCCTTTCTTTTGACAACATTCCAAGGGAGAGTGACATTCCCCTTCACACACACCATACGTACATTGAGGGATGATGTTTGGAGGTTAGAAAATTACAACGGAGACGATCAAGCATTTTTGGGGCTGTTGCCGAGGAAGGCAAAGTGTCGAATCGAGAAGGTGATTTCCAAACAACGGAGGTAAGTCTCGTGATCTTCATCATGGGTTAAGGTACGTTGTTCTGTGTATATATTCTTTTTTGTGTATAAATTCATTTGTAGATAGTTTGTTGCATGTGGGGAAGGGACGAACAAAATCGATTGGTTAGACAACCCTTAGACCCCAACATGAATATTGACCAAAACCCACCTGAGGATGCAGGTGTTAATTTTGATAATTTTGGCACCAATCCAAATGTTCAAAGGGGTGGGGGAGTGCCCAAACTTAGAATGCATAATCCACGAATGCAATTTCTCTCTCTTGTGAATGAAGGGAATAACATCCAAATGGATCTTTCGACGAGATCTATGAGAGATTTCCTTCAACCAACCCGTAGCACCACACTCTCATGCATCCTCTTACCGGTCCAAGCTCAGCTCTTCCAAGTTAAGCTAGGGATGTTGCAACTACTTCCTAAATTCCATGGAATTGAAAAGGAAAACCCCTACGTGCACCTAAAGGAGTTTGAGGATATAGTTGCAACCTTCAATGCTAACTATGCTATGGAGGACATAGCTCGATTGAAATTATTTCCCTTCTCTCTCATAGATAAAGCTAAATCATGGCTTGATGCCGTGCGACCTCGATCCATTACCTCTTGGGCTCAATTGCTTTTTAAATTTTTGAATAAATTTTTTCCGATTCATAGAACCACTGCTTTAAAAAAGGAAATTCAAAATTTTTCTGAGAAGCCCAATGAACAATTCTATCAATGCTGAGATTGTTACAAGGAGTTGTTACAATCCATTCCACATCATGGCTTTGAATTGTGGCAACTGGTAAGTTTCTTCTATGAAGGAATCACACCAACCCATAGACAATTCATTGACATGATATGTAATGGTGAGTTCTTGAAAAAAGACCCTCGATGAAGCCCTTGACTACTTTAGTGCATTGGCCCAAAATGCACTATCTTGGGACATTAGGGATCCCAACAACGTACCTAGGACGTCCTCAGGTAGTAGTCAACCACAAGGGGGAGGGATATATGATTTGAGAGATCGGAAAGACTTGCTTTCAAAAATTACTAAATTGTCAAGGAAAGTTGAGAGTCTTGAAGTCAATAGGAGACACGAGGTGTCTAATGTGTCATGGACCGAGGAGGCTTGCTCAATCTGTGAGAATGTGGAGCATTCCGTATTAAAGTGCCCCAACATTCCAACACTTAAGGAAGTGTGTCATGAGCAAGTTAATGCCTTTAACCAAACGAGGCAATCATTCTCTCTGCATTCGAATACTTACAATCTGGGTTGGAGAAATCATCCTAATTTTAGTTGGAGAAATGAGAACCCCACTCCTCATGGTTCAAATACATACACACCTCCTATACCTCCTAAGCAAGGTCAATACCAAAATCAATACCAAGGCCAAGGGCAAGCGTCTAGCTCCCAATATCCCCGGACTAATCCGCTAGGGTATTCGTCAAACCCACCACCATAGAATTTTTCATCAAGTCCACCTCCACAAAGCTTTTCTCATCAAGGGCCATCCAATCCTCCCACCTACCAACCTCCCCATAAGAAGAACTTGGAGAATGTGCTCTACAATTTCATCCAAAGCCAAACTACCTTTAACAATAACATTTCGGCTCAACTCATGAAAATTACCAATGTCATAGGGTTATCACAACAAGGGAAGGGGAAATTCCCCGCTCAACCCCAAGAGAACCCTAAGGTTCAACATGTGATTGAGTTGTTTGAGTCCACCAAAGAAAGTTGTGAGCAACTCAAGGCGGTCAGAACTCTTCAGAGTGGCAAACAAATCGAAAAGACTGTTGTGCCAAAGGTCTCACCCAAAAACACATTGCCAAATGAAGAAGAGACCAAATGTGACACCAAGGGGTGAGGTGAGTGATGAGGT